GGGGCGGCAGGTCCCTTTTCGGGATAAAAACACAATTCGTACTGGAGAAGACAAAATATATATATTATTTATTAAAACATTATTTAGGCAGAACATACACAGACGAGATAGTAACGCTGTTCTACATATGGTCCTGCTAATACAATGAACAACATATTGTTCAAGAAGGTTACCTAAAACAATACAATATACAATACAATACAATAAAATACAAACAGTTAAAACTATGATGGAAAACTATCCCACCGGACACCAACCCGGTAGGTTTCGGGACCAGGAATTACAAGGTTGGGCTTAACTACATCACTTAAATACAATACGGTCAAAGTATCTCCCGCTGAGTCAAGGTTACGGAGTCGGAATTCATGGGTGGCGCCAGGATTTTCCCAACGGGGGTCTGACGATGTCCCCGACGAAAAAGAAGTGGGCGTGGTCGGGCGTCGCCGAAAAATATCAAAATTTAGGGGTTTCAAAGGCTTATTTAATCGATTTTAGAGTCTATTAAATAATTAGAAAATACTTTTTTTTCACCCCAACGAATTGTGTTTTTTCTTCCCGACGGGGGGGGGGGGGGGGGTGCAGCTCTCCCCGACCTAATAGGTGTGGTATGGGGAGGAATCATTTTATGAGGTCATGCCACCGCCGTGCGCGCGTAAACCTATGGCTAAATCTCCCCCACCTGTGGCCGCGACCAAAATTCTACAAATTTCCTTGCTTACACGACCATCTTCAATTTTGTAGAATTTTGGACACAGCCACAGGTGAGGAGATTTAGCCATGCTGTAGCCATGTTATAGAGCACGTATTGTTATATTTTAAAAGAAGGCGTACATATTGTGACAGAACATGTAGTGTGATAGCCGAGCACATAGAAATAAGCTACTTTATAGGAAAACACGTGAACACTTTTCAAATCCGGAATTAGAGTACTGTAAGAACAACTCACAAATACCACCGTTTGTAACACGTACCGTAACGCACGCTTAAATGTGACGTAGTAACGGCCATGATCCCAAACTGTCCGTGCCTGCCGACTCAATAGAAATGCTGTGTCATCAAAATTAACGTCACATCAAATTTTATAAAATTTTAGTGAAAATAATACAATATTTAATAATTTCACTCATGTTTTTTTAATTAAAAAATTCAATTATTTAATTACATAGGCCTGCATGTTTTTAATCATGTTTATAAACATGCATTATATACTATGATTTTTGTGAATGGGTGCAGCAATATACAGCCCATTCCTCGCTATGATCATTACCTTGACGTGGTAGCGTGGCTTGTGTGGATCTGCAATGGGATGGTCAATTTATCAACAATTATTCATATATTCATACTTTATTTATCTTCTATTTGAAACAATACAAACGACAAAATAATTGTTTCATACGTTTATATGTTTTTTATATTTCATTAAAACAGTAAATGAACACACTAGCCCGACCGCAAAGTCGACTGCAATGTTCCCCACCATAACTGTGAGTATGATCAATGTACAGAGTTTGAAATTTATGTAGAAATACAAAGAAAATGTTTTATAATACACATTCTCATATACATTTTATATACAAAAAATCAAAATATGTACGGTAAACTATATATCAAAAAATGTAAGGAAACACTTTTTATTGAAATACATATATAAATTATATATAAATCATCAAAGAAAGGTAAATACAGTATGTATATAAATTATATATATATTTAAATTATACATAGAAATAACAAAGTAATAATTTTGGGTGTATAATTAATTTTTTATATATACATTAATACACAACAGTGAATCCACACTCTAACATACTTCAGGTCTGAATGCAAAGGATGCCAATTAATACTAAATGCAAATGCCAAATGTAGGCCACATGTTGAAATAATACACTGCAATGAAAAAAAAAAGAAATGCGTAATTGTTTCATACTATTCATATACTTTTCTATATACTTATATGGTAACAGGTCAAAGCGGCAAAAAAAAAAAAAATAAAACGGCAATAAGTCAAAACGGCAAAAAACCAAAACGGCAACATTTTTAGACCAGAACAGCAATGGACCAAAACGGCAACAAGTCAAAACGGCGATAAACCAAAACGGCAACACTTCCAGAATGATACAACTCAAATAAAATTAACAGACTATTCTGATTCAATATTTATTTTGGTATATCATCAGTTCAGTTTATTTCTCAGCATCAAAACATTGTACAAAACAGATAAAATTTGCACAAGGCAGGACAGAAAAATATTACAATAAAAGATGATGCAAGGGTGGTCTATGAAAGTTTTCTTTAAGAAGTAAAACTTAATTCCAATGTGGCACTACATAAAACCAATTATATACATGAAAGTGTACAACGATAAATACTTTATACTTTTTATGCTTATTTATATATACTTTTTATACACAAAGTGAACTCCAAAAATGTACAACTTAAGGGAGCCCACAACTGTCACGCACAAAATATAAATACAATCGCACAATTAAAGAAGTCCACAACAAATTTAAAAGCACCTCACACAATTAAAGAAATCTGCAACAAATTCAAAAGTTCCCCGGAACCTACAAGGCAGATATTATTACCAATTGCTAGGTCCTCCACTGGAAAAAGCCCGGGTACGCAGGCACGTGAGTCGGAGCTCCTTTTTCTTCCCAATCTGTTAGTTTTATGTTTGTTGTTTAGGGCCTTTAGATGGTTGATTAGATTTTCACTGAAATTGTAATTGGCACATGCAAAAACACAAATAGCGAAGCGTGTCGGGAAACAGATTAAATTCGTTGTTTGTGAATGACATATAATTAAGTATAGGATAGAAGAAGGATAAAAAGCCCCACCTCTGATTTTCCAAATACACCGAAGGGGATACAAATCTAAACACCACGGATGTTGAGATTTAAATTCCATCAATTGTGCTGCTAGGGGCATGCCGCTGCAGTTCTTCCCTAAAATTAAGATGGTCTAAAAATAATGGGCATAACTACTGTAGATATTAACAACATCAGTATAATACATACTTCAAGTATCGAAATGCACGCCATCATGTCGGGATTTAAAGAAGTCACCTAAGGCACATTTCTTCTCTGACGAAATTACCTCCAACTGTAACTATAAATTTGACGTCTATTTTTAAAAAATGGCGAATTTGGCTCGCCATACCCGAGCAAGTGTTCAGTTGGCTTCTTTTTGACAACAAGCCTCATTACAAGGAAGTCCAAATTAATCAGCAGTTTGAACACCACTCATTTTTAGTTGATTTTTAATCATATCAGCTAACTCACCTTAATTAAAAGGAATCATGACTACAAGTAGTAAAGATGGAGGTTTGTATTAATAATGGTTAATCTTGCACGCAACCATGCATATATAGGCTATTTGCCCAGTTTTTGTTAGACCTGGGACTAGGCCTAGCCCAGAGCCGTAGATAGAGAGAGTTTGGCAAACTCGGTTTCAATCACGTGACTTACACCGGCCATGTTGTCACCAAAACAAAACAACGCGATAGAGTAAGAAGTTACCACCAGTAATATTATAGATGATTAATGCTATAATTATAATGTGAAATACCGTTATGTTGGGTTTGGGGTTGCTGCAATCGATCCAACAAAGAAACAAAAATGTATTAATTTCCTTAAATTCCAAAAAGGAGGAGGATTTGGGATTTTATTTTAACTTTGCATGGCGATCGAAAAATCTCGCTAACCACGTAGTAAATTATATATAAGGCATGTACCGCCGCCCACCGCCCGCCCCACTTCGCGGTAATATATATTCACCTACTAATACTAGGCCTAGGCCTAGACAGGCCTAAATTTCGGTACTTCTTCGGCCGAACACCTTAATGTAGTACTTAAATCGGCTTAATTACGATGATAATAATTTTTTTAAAAAAAAGGATTTTCAAGCAGCAATAATTTATAAAAAGATGCAATGTTGCACTTTGCTGTTAAATTATATAACTAAATTTCCAGAAAGCTACATGAAGAATCAGTCATAGGTAGCTTAAATTATAATTAAAAATAAAAATTGAATCCTCCAATAAAAGCGAAAACTTGTCCAAGGAGTCCTGTGCTATGCAAACATGCCCAATTGTGCTTTACAAATCAATTAATTGTGCTAAAGATTTTAAAGATAAAAATATATTTTAAAGATATAGGCCTAATTGTATTATAATATATTGATTGTTTTAATACATATTTTAAATCAAAACGTTTAAATGTTTTACAAATTAAAAATCAAAATTTCGATGAATAGTAATAAATAATAAATAAATAAATAAATAAATAATTATAATAATAAATAATAATACAGTAATAATGATAATATTATAACTCACACAGAAGTGTGGAGAATGCTGCTATTTTACTTACAAGGCATAGCTTCTTGATTATGAATGATTAGGCATATGTTGTACACAAATTTCTCTCAATGCAATAATTCTTCAACTTTGATTTATTGTTTAGATTAAAATTTACAAATAGGCCTAGGCTATTTGTATTGGTTTGAAGATGACCAGCATATTATTTCATAAATTAAAGTTTACGAATTCATAGGCCTAAAGGCCTAGATACAATTATAAAACTTCATGTTATTAATATTTTTATCATTCATTTACAGGCGAAATTAACATATTATCGCCGACGATTCACAAACCTACTCTGTCTGTACAACCAACCTTTCTCCTCTGCAGTGTTGTCTCTTAGGAGCCTCATGCTATAGTCTATAGAGGAGGCTGCTAGCAACTAGGTATAGGCCTAGGCCTAGATAATAGACTTTCAAAACAAAAAGATAATCGTAACGAAAAAAAAATAAAGAATCGTTCTCACTTTATCTTCTCGAAATAATACAGCACGTCACTGATTATATTAATTCCAAAATTAGGTAAATATGATTATATATGATATTTACAATGATATGTTAAAATCCCATAATTGAATTGTCCTCATGAACAGAATAATGAAAGAAAGTTTATGCAGCATCAGTGTTTTATAAAATGTTATAAAGCTATACGCGCGCACGCTGTTTGGTGACAACATGGCGCCCATGCGCCAAGTTGGCCAAACTCTCTCTATCTACGGCTCTGGCCTAGCCCAAAATTGGGCCTAGTTAGGCTAAGCAGCGCTGAGAGTTATATATGGCTAGGTTAGGCAGGGTGAAGGAGATGTAGGCCTACCTTTTGACTGACAACTACTACTTGGGCCTAGTAGTAGGCCAGGTCTAGGCTATGCTAGGCCTAGCTAGACTAGGCTAGACCAGACCTAGTAGTACTAGTAGGCCCCCTACTAGAGGCCTAGCCTAGGCCCCTAGATAGTAGTCCTACTTTTTGATTTTCTAAATCTTTGCTATGACGTCAGATGGAGACTTGGGAGGAGAGAATTAGCCCAGGCATGGCCCTGGCAGGGGCCTAGAGGCTTGGCCATAGGCATAAATAGCCCAGTCGGATGGGTGTCGGTCAATCCGTACCCAAACTAACCTGTACCCATACCAACCCATACCCACTTTGGTCAAACCGTACCCAAATTTAGGTCAATCCGTACCAACGTTTGGTCAATCCGTACCCACGTCATTTTGGTCAACCCGTACCCAAAACATATTTGTATCTGTACGATCTTGTGTGGTCTGTAAGATTGTTGTTGCTGCTAATATTATTAAGGTAAGTTTTCTCTCTGGGCCTTTTTTTTATCTTTTCTCATAATTTTCAATTTTATTTTCATTAATTTTCCCTGGTTTTAATTTTTTCTTTCTCTTTTCTTTTGACTTTGGGTCTATTCTTTATTTCTTTATTATATAT